ATTTCACAATTTGACTCTTAAAACCATTTTGAGAATATTTTATGCATTATTTCATATTTTCATGTTATGGTTATCTATTATTTCAATCTTCATCGTTGAATCTTGTAAGTATTGAGATAACTTAGTAATTGCATGTGAGCATTTCAACCATTAACTCCAATTCCAAAATACTATTAACCACGAGGGCGTGGTTCCGTTTAAGTGTGAGGAGGTAAGAGTTCGTGGTTGAAATGATCTTTTTAGGAATTGTTTTGTCTATATATTTGTAGGAAAAGATTTTTTATAGAATAGTCATCAATTTTAATTGTTTGATTAATTAATCTTTAGTTATCACCCTTAGAAATTGGAAATTTTTAAAATTTTTGTCATTTTTGTCAAACTTTTATTTTTACTCTAACCTTTTGGGAATGTTTTCTTAAATGATTTGGGATAAATTCACAATTTACTAAGATTTTTTTTAAGATCAATCAATTTTTAAGTGCTTTATTGAAAATCTTTTTTGCTGATGCTCTTATGAGTATTTGTTGTTTCTTAAAAAGAGTTATTTTCAAAGTATAAGGGGTGATGTTTCAAAGCATACTTTGGTGAGACCGAGATTCTTGTTTTAGCCAAAAAGCAGTTGGTTCTAGGTCAACTGATGAGGCGTGGTGAGTATGCCGAAAAGCACGTGGTTCTATATTGTGTGATGAGGCCTTTTGAGCGTTAGAGTCAAAAAGCATGCGGTTCTATGTCGTGTGATGAGACTTTCCAGAGTGAATATCCAAAAAGCTTGTGGTTCCATGTCACGGGATGAGGTTATAATTTTTCTCGTGTCAACATGACAAAGTTATGCCAAAGAAAATTAAACCATTACACTTTGACAAATACTTTTGCAAGAACATGTTTTCTAATTTAGGCATAAAAAATTTATTTGATCTTTAAAGTACTCTTACAAATGTAGTTCTCCCAAAGAAAGTTTGGAAAATTATGGTTGTTTAGGTTGGTGTAAAAATATTGGTTTGACAAAAAAAATTTCTTTTACATTTCTAACAATATGGGTGAGAATCTAAAGGTTCATTTCTTCTTAGCAAAAAAGTTGATGACTATCTTATTTCTTCTTTTCTTCAGAATATGTAGCTTAAACCTTGCCTCTGCAATTATTAATTTGTCTTTGTACCTGTAATTATTCAATTTGTTGCTTGAGGGCAAGCAACGTTTAAGTGTGAGGAATTTGATAAGTCCATTTCGTTCTTATCATTTACATCATATTCTAAACGTTATTGCACGTAAATAATATTTAATCATCTCATAAAATGTGATTTTAATGGATAAAACTCGCATTTTCGTTCTAAGAGTCATAAAAAGGGATTCTACATGAAATCATCATAAATTATCCGTTTGATGTTCAAATGATTGAGAAAAAGGGAATATGCCATCAATGGATCAAGATTCGGGCTTGAACGAGCTTCCGGGAAGATAAAATCGACGTTTGGGCCGAAAACCAGCAGAATTGGGCCAAAATCTCGCATTAGCCGCGAAGCCCAAACGGACCAGGGCCTAAGGCGTCCAACTTGGACGCTTGGGAGTTGGACGCCTTGGCTGGATTGCAGATCAAGGAAGACACGTGGCAAAACCTGGTTGGCCGGGACAGCTCAGGCGTCCAGATCTGGACGCTTGGACTTGGACGCTTTGACTTGGACGCCTTGGATTCGTTCCTATAAATACAGCACGAGTGTTCTCATTTTTACCATCCATTCTCAACCCAATTTTGGGTTCCCCTCTCTCAATTGCTTAAAATACTTTGTGTATTAGTTTTAGTAGTAGTTTTGAAGTATTTTCGGAGGTTTTGACTCCCGATCCGTTCTGTTCCACTTGTACGGAAGCCGTAAGTTTTCTTATTTAATAAAATGTTGTTTTAATTTATGTTTGCATAGTATGAGTTAGGGTCCGGATCTCTGGGTCCGGACTAGTTTGGTTATTTATTTTTGATGTTAAATTAATGTTGGAATGGTTAATATATTGTTCTTGCCTTATTTAGTTAATTAACGTCGAAAGATTTAATTGGCCATTTATTGAGAAAATATTGTATGCCAAAAGGCTATGATATTCAAGTGCAACGGATTAAGTACAAATCTAGAAATGGATGAGCAGTAATAGAAATATTATTATTCCAATTGTTAATTTAATATGATAAAATAGATCCAAATGATGTTCAGACCCTAGGTCCAGATCTATACTTGTACTATGTGACCTTTATTTATTATTTTTACTCTGCTCCCTTTTTATAATCGTTTCGAGAAGACTTTCATAAACCAATCATAATCTTCGCCTAGTTAGAGTAATTAAACTAATTCCCTTCGTCCACTCCTCGAGAGATACGACACTCGGAGAGAAAACTAACCCTTTGTTGGGAAGGTTTACTACCCGAAAAACTACAATTGTCAGTTACCCTCAGTTTTAACTAGTTTAATTTTTTGAAGGCATGGGACTCGGCAGTAGCATACCCAAGTACTGCTTCTATACCCCTTTATCTTTTAAGAATTACTCCCTACTACGGAGTATTTCCTTTGTTGATTAGCGAGCAAGGGGATGAGATACTTAGGCCCCGTTTAGTACGCGAACTGGAATTGAAGACTACAATTCCAGTTCAACTGTTTGGTAGCACAAAAATATGTGGATTTGGAATAGGTAGTGCTAAGAATGAATTGAAATTAGAGAATTCAATTCCATCCAAATCAATTCCACAAAATTTTAACTCCAATTCAATTCCAATTCTGTCAATTCTGTGTACCAAACGGACCCTTAGTCAAACAAAATTTGGAATTATTTGAAATCATAAACCAGACTTGATACATACGCTATTGCTTTTAAAATAAATTCTAGTGTTTATACTGTTTAATTTCATGAATTAAAAAAGTATTTAAAATTAAAAAGAGTGAATTCATGGTTAACATATTTCGGAGTATTACATAAGAGAAAAAGGTTTTGTGACACGTATTCTATTCTTAAAAAAGAAAAAATGGTGTTAAATTTATTTTGAGACAATAAAAAAAGTGCGAGTGAAATTCATTTCTTGATTTAAGCATGTAAAATTTATACATCGCACTTGAATAGCTCCTTGAGACAATGTTTCATTCAATTTATTTTTTCTGCTTACTTATTCTTATTAAAAACATATAAAATCTTATCAGATCAGATCCAATAAAATCAGATCCTATTATTATTATTCTTGTTGTTGTTGTGGTTGTTCTTGTTGTTGTTATTGTTGTCGTTGTTATCACAACCAAACATTTGATATTCTTATATTCTTCTCGCATTTTTTTCAATGTCGAATTCAAAGCTAGTGGTCAATACATAACAGTGTGGAGCCATATATAGCTTGTCTTAACCATAAATTTCTTTTTTTTTCTTTTAAATTTAAGAAAAAACTGTAATATTCATTTCATCCCATAAAACATTTATATTGATATTTTGTGGTATTCCGTATAAATTTATTATGTAAGATGTAAAAAAAATGTAATATTTTGTAGAATAACATTCATATTTTTTTAATGATGGAATATTTTAATAATAATACTCTATATTTTTTTATATTGAATATTAAAAAAGTGAAATCGGTTTAAAAGTTATTAGCAAAAGGTATAACACCCTAGAAATCGGTTTAGAAGTTATTTGATAATTAAATAAATAAGAATTATTTATTTACGACAATTTTGTTTTTTAAAGAATTAAAAGATACTTTAGAAATTCTAATCGTCTCAATATAACGAGACTAATCTGACTCTATTTGTAAAGGTTTAAATTAAAAAAGTGATTAGTACTAATAAATCGAGAGAATTAAGACGAACCAGTTGGAATCTATAAATACTCGTTGAATGATTATAAAAGTTATATCGTTGGGTACAGATTGACAAATCAAATCCAACGACACGAACGAATCTCATTTCAGAGCAAGTTGGCCCGAAAAGTGTGTTTAAACTAAGACACGTCATTTTAAATTATGGAGTACAAAACCCTAGACCTTACGCGGCTATCTTCTTCTCCCTCTCTTCTTCATTGATTAACCTAGCACCGCCAACAACCCCTTTCCTCATTCTTCTGTCCTTCGATCGGAAACAAGAACCAGGCCAACGCTGTCTCCTCCTATCCAACTCAGCGGCGAGGCGGAGAGAATTAATCCGAGAGAAACAATAATGCCTGTGAAGTGCGGCGACGACAAACCAGCATACCCCTTCCGCGACGAGTTTGGACGGCAGTCAGGTCAGCGACCCACCTTTGCACTGACAACCCCCTCTATGCACGA